TATATATATTTATATAACCATGGTAAATTCTCACTAAATGAAGACATGTGACAATGTCAAATGTTGAAATGTCACTGGCTAGAAAACTGTAAGAATTGCTATATGAGAAAGAAACTGAATCTATACATCTAATACAAGCAACACACAACATATATTTTAAAATAAACTTTATCAAATTCTATCCTTATAAACTTTTAATTTTCTACCTTTTAAAGATGCTTTCTTCAACACCTTCATTGCATAGAGCTGCCCAGCATCAGGACCAGTCTTCTTCCTAACTAGAAAAACCTAATAGAGAATAAGAAAAACAAATCACAGTTCAAGCCATTCTTACTACAGACATATAAAACCACATACATGTATACTTGCATTAACTCTAATTTTATAAATATATACATTTCTCTATAAATAATATTAAAAATTACATTCTCACTATTTCTCACTTTTGCTCATTTAGTAAAGCACACTATGCACACATACAAATGTACATTTTTTTTAAATGGATGATATAGTCCTGGACTTTGAGAAGCAACAAATAAATCACATACCCTGGAAATACTACTTTGAGTTAGAGACTTTAAGACCTAAATTCCTTTTTGTTACCTTGATAAAGAGTAAATTAATGTTATGACTCTTAGTTTGAAATTTTCATTATTATTTTGTTATTGATCTGATTCAGAAGTTACCAGGCATCATATTCTCTAATAAAGAAATCAGAGGCAATGCTGATCTCTATGCAGGTGAAATAATCAAGATGGAAAATTATCCAAATAAACAAATGACAGTTAAACTCTTTCAAGTTACCAAAAAATCCTAAATAATGCCTTATATTTTTTTCAATCTAAGGTCATGACTCATTAAAATCTAAGTTATTAAAAAAAACCCTCAAACACACACACACACACACACACACAAATATATATATGAGTTGACCACAGTTTTTGAGTTAGCTATTCATTAGGTGAGGAGCTCTGATGGTACAGTGGTTAAAACACTCAGTTGTTAAATGAAAGGTCACATTTGAACCCACCAGCCACTATGCTGAAAGATGTGGCTGGTGCTTCCACAAACATCATAGCCTAAGGGGTCATTCTACTCTGTCTTAAATGTTCACTATGAGTCAGAATCAACTTAATGTCAACAGAGGTAAACACCTAATAAACATTAGGAAAGGGCTGTTTCAGTTTTAAAATTAATTAGCAAAACTAGTTTCTTACCTCAACCTGTCATCCCCAACCCTAACAGGTTCTAAGGAAGTGTCAAATAAAATTCAATAGAGTAGCTAAGTTGTTGTTGTTAGGTACCGTTGAGTTGGTTTTGAGTCACAGCAACTCACTGTATAACATAAAGAAAACATTAGCCCATCTGGTGGTATCCTTACAATCACTGCTATGCTTAAGTACTGTAGCCACTGTGACAATACATCTCACTGAGGGTCTTTCTCTTTTTCATTGGCCCTCTCCCTTATCAGGTATGATGTCCTTCTCTAAGGACTAGTCCCTCCTGATAAAATGTCCAAAATATGTGAGACAAAGTGTCACCACCCTCACTTCCAAGAAGCATTCTAGCTATACTTCTTCCAAGACAGATTTGATCATTCTTCTAGAAGTCTATGGTATATTCCATATTCTTCTCTAACACCATAATTCAAAGGCTCCATTTTGTCTGTGGTCTTCCTTATTCATTGTCCAGCTTTCATATGCACATGAGGTGATTAAAAATACCATGGCTTGGGTCAGGCCCACCTTAGTCCTCAAAGTGACATCTTTGCTTTTTAACACTTTAAAAAGGTCTTCTGGAGAATACCTGCCCCATGAAATACATCCTTTGATTTCTTGACAGCTGCTTCCATGAGAGTTGATCATAGATCCAAGTAAAATGAAATCCTTGACAATTTCAATCTTTTCTCCACTTACCATGATGTTGCTTATTGGTCCAATTGTGAGGATTTCCATTTTCTTTATGTTGAGATGTAATCCATACTGAAGACTGTAGTCTTTAAACTTCATCAGTAGTAAGTGCTTCAAGTCATCTTCACTTTCAGTGAGCAAGGCTGAGTGTCTGCGTATCACAGGTTGTTAATGAGACTTCCTCCAATCCTCATCCCACATTCTTCTTCATATAGTCCAGATTCTCGGATTATTTGCTCAGCATATAGATTGAATAAGTATGGTGAAAGGATACAACCCTGACACACACCTTTCCTGATTTTAAACTACTCAGTATCCCCTTGTTCTGTTCGAATGACTGCCTCTTGTTCTATGTACAAGTTCTTCATGAATACAATGTAGTGTTCTGGAATTTTCATCCTTTGCAAACTTATCCATAATTTATTATGGCCCATGCAGCTGAGTGCCTTTGTACAGTCAATAAAATACAGGTAAATATATTTCTGGTATTCTTTGCTTTCAGCCAAGAGGCATTTAGAGAGGATTTCAAGAATAAATCTGACCCACTGAACACTAATAATCAAAGACAAGATGGGTTGTGGGATGGCATCAAGGACATCATAAATAAAGAAAATAAAAAGTCCTTGAAAAGATAGGAAAGAAATTAAAGTTCAAAATGGATGTCATAAGAGACTCTGAAATTTGTTCTGGGAAATAGAGAAGCTAAAGCAAATACAAGAAATGATAAAGTAAAAGAGCTGAACAGAAGATTTGAAAGGGCAGCCCGAGTAGACAAAGTATTATAATAAAACATGCAAAGTTCTGGAATTAGAAAACCCAAAAGGAAGAACACAGTCAGTATTTATCAAGCTGAAAAACTGAAGAAAACAATTCAAGCTTCAAGTTGCAATACTGAAGGATTCTATGTACAAAATATTGAACAAGGCTGGAAGCATCAAAGAAGGTAGAAGTAATACACAAAGTCACTGTACCAAAAAGAATTGGTCAATGTTCAACCATTTCAGGAGGTACAATATGATCAAGAACTGAGGGTCCTGAAAGAATAAGTCCAAGCTACACTAAACACACTGGTGAAAAATAAGGCTCCAGAAATTGACGGAATACCGATTGAAATGTTTCAATGAACGAATGTAGCACAAATGGTGCATATGTATCTATGCCAAGAAATCTGGAAGATAGCTACAAAAACAACTGACTAGAAGAGACCCATATTTATGCCCATTTCAAAGAAAGGTGATCCAGCAGAATATGGAAATTATCAAACAAT